AACATACATTCATTGACTGCTGGTATTTTCTATACTTTTTCGCTTGCGATATAATCTCATTCTTTGAACAGCTGTAATATCTGTCTTGCTTAAGAGGTATTTTTCATTTTAATAACTTCAAAGATTTATAGAAACTGCGAATAATATAGAAATATTTCTAGTCAATAAACTTACGTTAAGTACACGGCACAAATGGTTAATTTGTTTTATTATTTTCAAGGAACAAGGTAAAATATTCTTCTGATTCAGGAATTTTTCATTAAATCAAGATTTGTACTACGATCTAACTTTAAAATGTTTATTTATATATGCCGATTTTCTTGTTGATATCGGTACGCATACAACGTTGATGCCGGTACGCAGATCTCTATTTATATACACGACGGCTAATCACAATCGACCCTTATTGAAATGATATCATCGAGAGCGAATGACGTACAGTTCTGACGTAACGCATTTCCGTTGCATTTGTACGGATTTACATTCTAGTTGCGCCTAAAGAAGTTTTATTTAAAAAAATACTTATATATATCTTATAAGATTTACACTCTATATGTAAGCCGGTAAAGACAATATTTTTAACAATGAGTTCATTAAAGACATTAATTCATAGTAATAATATACATATTATGTATATTATATCCTAATTTTTATTTGAAGTGTAACTGAATATGATAAAATATACCTTTTGTATCATTAGTTTAAAATTAAACTAAATAAATATGAGAGTTAGGCTTGGTGGAATACAGATGTTTTAGCTGGGCATTTGAGAAAGCATTTTCTTAATAATAAATTCTGCAATAATTATTTAAAATTTATAAATCAATATCTAACTATTAGAGCTATATAACTTTCAAAAATATTTATTTTAATAATCAAACCGTTTAAAATTTAAGATAAATGCGTTGATGAGCTATTTTATCATTGTATGAACTTTTATTTTATTAAAAATTTAGAATATAATTTCATAGATTAAATTATGCTTTCTATTATCTTTGGAAACTTTACTGAAAAATTCTGACAAATTAAACACAGTAAATAAAATAAAATTGGTAAAAACTAATTTGTATTTGTATTTGTATTTAGAGTTGATTTTGAAACATTTACTTATAAACAGAGTGTAATAAAGATGAGCAAAATTTGTACGTTCTAAATAAAAATTTTATTTTAAACTTACATAGATCATATATTATATAGGTTGTTCCTAAATTTTATATTAATAAATAGGCATCAAATGTATTTAAATCAAATCTTCGATTTTTTATTATCTTCCTGCAGAAGTATCCCTTCGTAGGGCTATTATTTAATGTGACCTATATTCGAATAGAATGTAACTCAAACTAGACAAAAATTCCCATGTATCTTTCATTATAATTTGTCTCGGTTTATTTTCATGAGTAATAAATTTATTCTAGGAAGTATTCAGATCGAAGTCGTGTGCGTATTATTCGGCCATTTCGTTGCCAAGCTTAAAGGTCAATGATATTTGAGAATAGGAACAATATTTTATTTTGGCAAAGAATTATGCCAGTGGAATTTCTTTGTTTATTTTTGTTAATTCAGTTTTACTATACGACAGTAATGTAATAAAAAAATGTAATGCATTTTATTAATTCTTCAGGCATTTGAACAATTAATTTTATGGGAGTTTAGTAATTCAATACAAATGCTGATAACATTGCATCTTTTTAATTCAATCAACTATCAATAACAAATGCAAGAATGATATGATAAAAATTTAAAACTTTTAAAACATAAAATCCAATACAATAAAAAATCTGTAATATATAAAATATTTTTATCAGAACCATAAGATTTTCCATATATTTTTCATATTGCTTCAATCATATATTAATAATTTAAAAATCCCAAATATTTCTCTTCAACTACTCTGTAAATTCCATTGATTTATTTACACTTTAAAAACAATGTTAGTATTATTTGCATATTTATTCCAAAACAGGTGTGTTAAAATTAGCAGGATTAATTATGATGAGTATGTAATTTTGAGATCTACTTGACGTAGCTTCAGTAAAAGAATTTTTCTTATTCTTAACTTTAAATTTTGTATTATTATTTATACAAAAATGTTTTTTGTAATTTACTCACAATTGGTTTTAATTTTTATTAGAATCGAAACTTAATCGAATTATAAACTTTCTCAGTATCATTCTTGTTAGATTATTTTAATAGATTCTTATTAGAATCTAACTTTCATAACTGATCATTGAAATGATTAATTTCAAAAGCAATATTTATCTGACCAATGCATATTTTAAGCTCATCAGAGATTACATAATCAACTAAGCAGCTAGGATGCAATAATTATCGAGATAAATAGAAATAAAATATAACTGGGTCATAAATGAATATAAAAAGTATTTTTTTGGTCTGTGGTCCTGTTTTTTATTTAGTGTTTATTACTTTTTCAAAATTTCGTAAATAACACTGATGTCATACAAGATGTATTGTTAATAACATCGTTTAATGATAATATTTCATGTAAAAAAAGTGAAATATTTATTTTCAAATTTCACGTGAAAGTTATCGTTATAATTTTAATTAAAATATATAATATAGCGAATATATGTACAACTAATTGTAAACAACTTGTCAGCATTCTCTGCTAAATATAAATATTTTCATAGATTGCAGAATAAAAATAAATTTTAAAAAAATTTACATAACATGGTCGCCTTAGTATTAAATTTGTTCAGTTTTGTCCACTTATTAAACTTGAAAATAAACCTAAAAATCGACTATCAGCCATGTGTTCTCGCGGCGTCTTGAACGCGATCGACGACCCCGACGATGACCCGCAGCCGATGTCTCCCCTGGCGTCCAGCCTGCCGGCGCTGACGGTGGGGTCGCCCCTCAAGATCAGAATCGACCACCCCGGGATCAACCCATTCCTGATGGAGCCCCATACAGGTAGCCGAAACATCGGCAAAGATGTTTCGCATCAGGACACAAACAAAACACATACACAGATGGATTCGGGACAGCACAAAAACACACTGAGGACGTGACAATTTCAATGAGTAAATAACAATATAATTGTTGTCGCTAACAAGACGGCTAGCAGACGTCCGTCAGACGCGCCTGATAAAAAATGCTTTGTGATAATAAATAAAGTTTGATTCATGTGGGAAGAGAGCTGGTACTGAGATTTGGCAATCGGATGTTCGTCATCAAATTACTTATTATTAACTTCTTTTAAAATCAAAAGTAATTATGCTCACTTGATGCTTCCAAATACATCACGTGAAAGTATGAACAATATTCGATATTGAGGTGTTGAAAACTGCTTTGTACGAAGGAAAATTATTCGTTCAATCTAGCTGAGATGCATTTTCGTGAATTATTACCACTTCACAATTACTACAAATTTTATTTATCATGATCAAAATTTTAAGAAGTAAATGAGATTGTAATTCAAAAACAAAATTGATAAAAACGTGTATAGTCAGCCCTCGATTAACACGGCACTCTGGGTACACGGTTCCCATACTTCGCAGAGCTAAAAATCCGACATCCCTCCGACTACACGGACTTCCTATTACACGGTTTTTGTTCAACAGCCCATAAGTTGAAGCGAACCCTATGAGTGTTTCTAGGAATTTAATAACAAAAGGGTATTAATGTAAGTTTTGTTATCGACTTTTATCTCTTACATACTTGATTATATAATAGCTGTCTGAGAATACGTTTGAGCTGACTTCTGCGTCGCGCCAATTTTTTAATAATGTGTCTATGTCATACATGTCATTCCGCCCGTATTACTCGTACTTCAAGTTGTATTCCATACAGCACGAAAAAATTGTGCGATTTGTACTGAGTCTCTCATAGCGCGGTTCCCATACTGCACTATATAAGTTTCCATAGAACGCAGTACGAATTTGCCTGAATTGTACGTTAAATACGAGTTTTTTATAGTACGGCCCCCATACTGCACTGTGTTAACGAGGGTTGACTGTAGTACGCTCATCTCATTTAACATATTCAAATAAAAATTAAATCTTTTTGCAAAATTGGCTACATTCATATATTCTATGTATTTATTCGTTACTGTCTATGATAAAATCGAAAATAATTTATTGATATAGATTATTTTAAGTTGAAATATACCAGAAACTTGACATGAATCAAACTAAAGACATATTTATGTGTTATTCTATAACTGTGTTGTCATATTTGGCTGTTTCGTGTTTCTTTTTTAAATATTCATAATTGTGGTTGTTGCTTATTTTAATATTTACAACTAACATTTTTTCCAACCCTTATTCTAAGGAAATCTATACTCTTTGTCAGTATTATAAAATTTACTAATTTGTATAATAAACACAAGATTTTTTCATTTTTGATGGAGATTATAGATTATCTCTGAACAGATTGAACTTACTTTATTTTAAAATAGGACTTCAGTTCTATATTTAATGAAAATTGAGAATTTTGATAGTTAGGGTGGTTTACTATCTCGTATGATACTGCATGCGCATTTTTTCAACATTTAAGTAAATAAGATTTTATGCATTTTACGCCTGTGAATTCTGTATGTGCGTAATTAATAAAATATGTTTGTAATTAATTTACAAAAATTTGCTTTTGTAAAATATGATTATATAGATACAAATTTGTTGAATATATGTGCATATACAAGTATAACAGACATTTATACTCGTATAGTTTTTGCACAAAAACACACTGAGGACGTGACAATTTCAATGAGTAAATAACAATTGTATAATTATATATAAATATAAATCTTTATAAATCTTAGTCATCCATATCAAGACTTGCCCGTAGGTAAGCGGTTAAGACTGTAGGGGACTTGTTTCAGAGGTCCCGGGTTCGATACCCACTTCGAGCAGCCTGTTGTCAGGCAACAGTGACAACGATTTTTACTTGGAAATATAAATAGCAATATGTTTCCAATTGAAAATAGCCCTCAGCCGGCATTGTTGCACCATACTTGCCCTATTACAGAGATTGTAATAAAAATTTATTATACAGAGATGTGACAACTGTTTGGGTTGTCATCTGGAATAAAACAAATGTAGTGTGTAAGTTGTAAGATATTAATCACAACAGCTCATAAAACTTATAAGTTCTGATCGCTGTTCAAATAAAATTAAAAAAAAGTAATTCATGTCAATTAATTTTTTAACGTATTCAATATTTGTCTAAATAAATAAATTCCTTTGCAAATACTGAAAAGGCATTCTTTACTCTTTTGCCTCGAATGAACATCCACTCAACTACCTGTGCATACGAGTGTCGTTCATAGACGACATCCATTCAACTGAATGTGCATACGAGACGACATCCTTTCAACTATCTGTCCTTACGAGTGTCTTCCATAGACCTGTGTATACGGATGTCGTCCATGGATGGCAAGTTCTGTGCCGGTCTTTGCTTTAAGATTTTTCACTATGAAACAACGAGTTTCATAGTTAAACGAGAGTCTAATTTTTATTTTGTATATTGGAAGCGATTTTTTTTAATTTCAACACTTTTTTATTGATAATGATGGAAATATCTTAAAATCGTCTTCGTTCAGTGACACTACTAATGAATACGCTGTTCCGTACAGCAGCGATACTGCAAGAAAAAATTTCCATAATGGATAGTAATTAAAAATAATAATTTTTAAGCTTTGCTGATTCAAGTTGGTGATTAACTCAGCTAACGGCCCTGACCTGGGGCAGATCACCCATTATTATTAATATTAGTTACTTTTGTGGATGCCTTTTAATACTCTTTGACAATTTTACAAAATTTGTTGAAAGAACTTATTCTATCACAGCATATTATGGCATTGATTATCTAGGCCAATGTAATAACAGTATTATCAAATATAAACCAATAAAAATAAATTCATAAATATTCATATCCACATAGCCATAATATTATGATGCACTTTGCGATGTGTCTATTAGGCGATGAATGTTCGCGCATTTAGCCTTGTGGCGTTTTAATGCGTTTCAGATTTGGACCATACTCGACTTGGAATTGGAATCATTCCAAAAAATTTAAGTTTTTGCTGTATAATCATTAGAGCCACAAACGTGACCTTTTAATTATTCTAAACTCAAGTATTCAAAATGAATCTGCAAATAATGCAAAGAATTCTATACATCTTGATTAAAATATAGCGACGTATCAATTATTTAGAAAGTCCAACATAAAATTAGTTTTTCATCAAAATATTCAAAAATAATATCTTATTTAATATAAAAAAATTCAATTTAATTATTAATTGTTGGTTGAACGTGCTAATAAAAGTATACGATCATTACTTATAATATAGATGGAAAAATCTAAAAAAATACTTCAGTTATTTAACTCTATATAGAATAAAATTTGAAATAAAATGATTTTTGTATCTGATTTTTTTTCAAACTCAAAAATTCAAGAAAATAAATAATCTTTCTAATAATGTTAAGAATTCTATACATTTTGATTAAAATATAGATAATGCATCAAATATTTGAAATTTTCAACCTAAAATTAATTTCTCAAAATAATAACTTATTTAATTCAAAAATTGCATTGGAATATAATATTTATTTAATAAGTCTAACATACTAATAAAAATATTAAGCAACTCTATAAAATAATTATTAATCATTAGTACATTTTAGAATAAAATTCAAACAGAAAAAGGTTTACTAATATTTTTACTTAAGCTATATTATTTAACACAGTTAATAATCGAAATTTCAAAAACAGATTCAATATTTGTAACTAATGATTTTTTGTCGATGAATTTATATATTTTTTTAAATATTAACGTTAGTTAATATTTAACGTTACTAAAAATGATTTATTTTCTAAAATTGTTTGAATTTTAAGATATTGTTTCTAATGTAGAATGAATGGGAGCTATTTTTTATATACTTATGATATACCTATCTGAGTTCATGAGTTCATGTGAATATGAAAAATCAACAGAAAAATATAAGTTTATTTTCAAGGGATATTAATAATAAACCATAAGAATCCGTAAAATCAGTACACATTATATGTGAATATTAATTTCAACATAATAATATTAATATAATAATAATATTATATATATATATATATATTATACCATTTTTTGTTTGTATTAAGTGTCTAAAAATCTTTATAGATTGAGGACCTTATTAATGAAGATTTGAATAAGTACTAAACTTGTATATCTTACTTATTTGAGACTCAAATAAGAAAGCAGTCATTTTTGTTGTTTTTGCATTTACTTCATATTATTTTACTCTTATTTATTCTATTATTTTATTTATATTGATATATTAATATAATTAATAGTCTAAACTCCAACATTGGATTTTATATTATATCTTTCCTCTGATAAACAAATCTTACATGCGATGATCAAATTCAATTTTGGCTTCTCGGTATATTATACTAAATGGTTTATGACTAATTTTTGTAATAAATATAGTTTTAATTATAAATTTGTTTCACCTTGAACATGCAATAAGGCTTCGTGAATCAGATATACGCTGATATGCACAAACAAGATTATGATCAGGTAATCCTATTTACTCTAAATTTGCACTGTGTATTAATTAAAAACAGAATATTCAATTAGGTATTGTTTTATATTAAAATGCGCACTTTCTGCGGTAATTTTTATTATTGGAATATATCGGTTTTGAATTTGTTGATACTAAAATAATTAATACTGATATCTTTGGTACATGCAAATACTGCGTATAAAGCTCAGGATACATTCTTATTCATTATTATTATATTTAAAACTTTTCCACCAGAAAATTCGTACATTATTTACAATAATTTGCTTTAAACACTTGGGTATGCTGATTTTTAGTTATTTGATAAAGAATACACATTTTTTAGGTCATATAAGAAGAAATATAGAGAAAGAACTAGTTTTTGAAATTCTTAACATATTTAGCAACAAAATA